ATTTCCATGTAAATACATGTTGGTAAAGTGTTTTACCTGGAAAAATTAAAAATCTGTTTTTCACTTTTTTTGAAGTAATTAAGAGCAATAAGTCACATTGACAACATTCCTCTTGTAAGGTGATATTTAGGAAGCAGGAAAGCATTGTGTTTTTTCACACTCACAAGACGCTGTGTGGTAGAAAACGAATATTGTGAACATTATACCAATGATGTTACACCAGCCTTATGCTACAAAATTGGTGATGGTAGCATCATGCTATGAAATTGCTCTTCTTTGGCATGGTCAGGAAATTGGTCAGAGCCTAATTCAGTTCAAATGCTATAAACATTCACAAAACAAGGAGTAAACTACAGGGGTGGACAGGGCAGCAAGGCGAACAAATAACTGCAGCATAAAACACTGCTGTGCAAGATGGTGAGGACTAAAATGAATATAATGATATAAAAAATTTGGCTTTACAATAACTGAATATTGCAGGTGTCCAGCTCAACTTGAGTTAAAATCTGTGGTGTGTCTTTCAAAAAGATTTAAAAGTTGGGTGAGTCAGGGCAACTTTGATGTCCTTGATGGACATAGAGGTAGATGAAATGGTTTGAATAAAAGGACATTTAAGTGTCTGTGGGTGGAAACGACAAATTGAAATTATAGTGAAAGGTGGATGCAAAAAAAGGGGGGTTCGAATACTTTTCCTTATTGTCTTGGTTCCCATTGTTGTCCCGCGAGTCGAAACAAGGATTCCACTCGTCACTGGGGCATAATGGCAGCTGTTGTGGTGGAGGCAAGAGCCCAGTGAGGATAATTGCTGGAGGAGCTTAGAGACATGGGCCACCTGCTGCAGCATTAGGCCTGGATCACACAGAGACAGAACGTGTTTGCAGGAGTTTGTGACTGTACTTGCGCAGATATGCCAAGGAGCAGGGACAAAGCAGTGGCAGGCGGCGGAGGGGGATAAGGAGGACAAGGTGCACAAAAGGACTTAGGCATAACCTCGCGTAAAGCTCTTGCGGGGGATGAAAATCTTCCCGCCTCTATTATTGTACAGTGCGTATCACCTCTACTGTTGCTAATCCCGTAGGGCTCTGTGAGGTCAGAGCAAACTGACGAGCAGCAACATGCAGCTGTTTGACACAAGGGCTCCAACAAAGTGTAAGAAAAATCGCATGAACTTTTATTTCCATTGCTGCTGACGCGGCTTCGCCTGCGCACAAAGCCGCCACACAAAGGGCGACTCCTCTGTGGGAGTGCGAGGGCTAACCTGGAAGGAGTTCGCTCTGTATCTGGGACAGGATGACAGGGCGGTCATTTTCAATAGGATTTGTGGGGTCAAGGGTCATCTCCAGAACAACAGCGTTCTAATCTCCGCTTCCAAGTGTGTAAACATTTGTCTGGAGCGGGGTCGGGAGGCGCGCTAACATGAGCAGCTGGACCTCCAACAGGGCAGCCACTCGCGCTCCCAACATCCTCAGCAACTCGCCTCACCTGACTCTAATTGTCTGTTTGCAGTTGTTTGCGTGCACGGTAGATTATCATCCTAAGTGTGTTTGTGCTGACAGTGATCTCTATCCGAGTCGCTGCAATGGGGGTAATTGGGTTATCAGGTGGTAAACAACACTGTGATGTGGCTTCAGTGTGAAGCAAGATGTATCATCTGCAGTTCGTGGTGTATAGATAGTGTCGCTCCACAGCTGTGTCTTCACATGCATTATGAGCCCAGCTTTCCTCAGCACCACCTCAGCGTTTGCTTTTGTTTAGAGTTTTCCCGCTCTGCGCTGTCACCACAAATCAGATGATTTATAGCGATAGCCTCACAGGATTCCAACTTCTTCCTTTTCGGTGTTACTCCGCAAGAGTGGCTTTGAGTGACTGCTCACTTTCCCGCCGAGCAGCACCGACAGACGCTGCCCCTCACTGGCTCCGGATGTGAAAAAGTGAACGTCTGCAAAGAAGCAGTGACACATGATCTACGCTCGCACGGTGCATCAATATAATGCGGTATTGCTTTCACGTTAGAGCTTACATCATAAAGAAGAAACTGCTGTTTCATGTGATACTCCACCAAGATCTTTTGAAAATTGACCGCTCAGCCTCCGCGGAACTGAAAGGAGGCAATAAAAAGTTGAAATTCACAATAGTTGCAAAAAAAACAACAACAAAAAAACAAACAAAACACCCCTAAAGTTGTCCCTTTTCTGGCCATTCACACAACTTTTCTCCATCTGTCTGCTCAGCATGTAGGAATACTCACATTTCCATGCGAAACCTGCACTGCAAACAGATATCTGGAAGGCTCATTAGCGTGCGCTTTGGATTGAGCAGGTTAAAACGCCCTGCTGGTTTCTGCCGCCATTTAACCATCGATGATGTGAAAGGAAACGTTGCATCCACCTTTTAAAGGCCGCAGGGGGTTTGAGGTTGATGGTCAAAAAACAAATTTTGGTTGAAAATGTCGGCAGTCAATTGCAGCTTCATGAAATGAAAATTAACTTTGTTTGTACTTTTAGATTAATAGTGCATCAGATTGTGATCCAATATTTATCAAGCTGTAACTCACACATGATAAAATTGAACTTTTTTAGCTGATTTAATGACTTGTGGTGCTTTCTACGCTTTTTTCACACAGTCCAAAAAATATTTGACTAGCTTTTTCTACTTTTCTATGTCTCAAGTGTGCAACGTAACTTAAAGACAATACTTTCCCATATGTTCCATAAAGTTCCACTTCCCTCAAACATCAGGCAACATATCGGAAAAAAACATAAATTGTGTTAAAGGTTTGTTTGCAACAAGGGCGAACATTATGCACATTCCAAGCTTAGGGCCAGGACTTTAACACACTCTTTTTGATTAATTGATTATCAAAATTGTAACACAATTTTTATTTATTTCTTTGCATACAAAAGTTCTGCTAGAAGTACCTTTTGACAGCTATTAAACATTATTTTAAACAAATTTCTGCACAAATTCTGATGTGATATTGTAATCTCAAATGTCTTCTTTTCATTACATGGGAAATCATTGTAATTAACGAAAAAACAAGATTTGAAAGCATCAGTTTCTCTGTGTTCATATTCAGTCAGCTGGCTGCCCCTCCTCCACTTTACGTGATTTCTATAAAAAAAATGTAAAAGCCTGTGTCTCGGTGTATGGAAGGAAGCAAGAAGCCACACTGTTCCTTGGCAGCTGCCATGAACAGCCTTCTGAACTTCCTCCTCACTTAAGAGATCACTTCATAATTAGTGAGTCATAATAAAGCTGCTATTCTTTTAACTGCATATCAAAAGCAAACACTCTTAACTGCACTGCTGTCTAGCTGCCATTGTTTCTTCACTTGTCTCAAAGCTGATATTTCTTTGAATATTTGCAGGATAATTTGAACACTTCCTCCAGCTTGTCACTTTTTTTGTATGTTTTTTGTTTTGATATGCTCTACTGAGTCTGTGAATTTAATTGTTTATTTAAATATTTATCTGGACGTCTTTTTCCCCAGCCTACTAACGTTACTGTGTAAAAACTGCTTTTCAAGGTGGGCTTGTGACATTTTTATACATTGGAATTAGATGTAATCGTAATTTTTAGACAACAAAAAGAAGAACAAAAAGTGGAGAAAGAAAATGAAGAATGACATTTTATTTGCAAACTACTGTTATTGATCATAATGTAATAAAATTAAGATTGACCATTTATATCTCATGTGATGAAAGAGGAGGACAAATGACAACGTCAAAGAAAAAAAATATATTCTGGACCTAAACAAAACATGTAGGTGAAGTAAATACTTGAGAATTTAAAGTTCAGAAATATTAACATCAATACTCAATCATTTTATATGGATGAGTCAGTTCCTATGAAATGTATGAACTGACTCTTTCGACAGACAGCACGACTTTAATAAATAGGGGAGAAAATAATAACCCCTTTCAAAGTAATTAGTGCTTCCTGGGGGCATACAATGAGCCTTCTGTATGTAATACAAACCAAACAGAACCCGAGCTGAATTTAGCAAATTAAGCATCAAGAGAGATGAACGCAGATCTCTGGGAATTCTTTGTGCAAATATTTTGACTCCTGTTTTGAATGGATTGTCAGAAATCTGGCAGATAACAGTCTAGCTATGTGAACGCGAGAGCTAATCTGAGCCTTTGTGAGCGTTTCAGTCACAACCCCCTGTTAAGTGAATGTGCAACGTGTCACACTTCAATCATAAAAAAGTTGTTTTCGAAAATAATTTATTCGGTGATTATGTTTGTGACCGTAGCGGTTAGATTGCCATTTCGTAACAGCGTTCTGGCATTTCTACAGACTCGTTGCATTTTGGGGGTATGCAATTATGAGTGAGTGGCTGACGAAATAGTTTTCCATGTCGCACAAGAAGATCTCCAATCAGAGTAAAAGACATTTCTTACAGCGGGTGGAAAGAGGCTTGCGGGGCTCTGTGAATAATCCTGTTGACTTTTGCTTGTGTGGCAGGGCAGCAGTTTCAAAGTCTTGGCATCGGTGGAAGTGGAGGATCAATCCTCTAGAGTTAAAGTGCAGCAGCACTCTGCTGCCCATGCAAAGACGGTGATGATGCACCATCCCCCTGACCTTCACACTTCGTGTTGTGTTGTTTTGCAAGTTTACTTTTCAGAGCTCCCAAGTGTCTTGGCAGGGTCTGCCTCACTAAGACTTTTGTTTTTGTTTTGGTGGAAAAATGGGTTACTTTCTATTCTATTTTTGGACATTGTTAGAGCAAGGTCATATATCTAGTCACAGGTAGCATGGCCTTGGAGGAGAGAGTTACACCTAAAACATACCAAAGCATTTTGTACTTCAACTGAAAGTCATTTTAGTTTTTTTTTATAACTTTGTCACATAGGTGACACAGCTGAGTGCATAATGAGTCATTGCTTCCTGAAAACATCCTAACCTGCACTTCTTGTCAATAGCTTAATCGAAGTAGCACCAGAAGGTTTTGGTTATTTACTGACCTTTCTGCTTTGTCTGCATCTCTTTTGTAGGAGAACCCATATTTGTGCAGTGACGAGTGTGATGCCTCCAACCCAGACTTGGCTCACCCTCCTCAGCTGATGCAGGACCGTGAACGCACCGGCCTAATCACCTACTGGCAGACGGTGACCTGGGGTCGACATCCAGAGCCCCTACTCGCCAACATCACCATGTCTTGGAACAAGAGTCTGGAGCTCACAGACGACATCCAGATCACGTTTGAATATGGCCGTCCCACAATCATGGTGCTGGATAAGTCCATGGACCACGGGCGCTCCTGGCAACCCTACCAATTCTACGCCGACGACTGCCAAGACGCCTTCAACATGCAGCCCAGACGAGTGCGCGACCTCTCACCCACAAACCTGACACGGGTCATTTGCACTGAGCAGTACTCGCGCTGGGTCGGCTCCAAAAACGATAAGAACGTGAAGTTCGAGGTGAGGGAGCGCTTTGCTCTGTTTGCAGGCCCCCGGCTGCAGAACATGGACAACCTGTACACCCGCATGGAAAGTATGAAGGGACTGAGGGACTTCTTTACCTTCACCAACCTGAGGATGAGGCTGCTACGGCCTGCGCTCGGAGGCACCTATGTCCAGAGAGACAACCTGCTAAAGTACTTCTACGCAATCTCCAACATTGAGGTTCCTGCCAGGTGAGGAGTAACTGTTTTCTTGCTTGTTGCACCTTAACCATAACAGGTTCACACATTTAATCAAACAGAGTCTTATTATGTATCAAAAGCCGGCAAAAATGTTTTAGATATTTTAAATGGAATACAATTTAATGAGGAAGAAGATGGGGATGTTGCTGGTCATTTTGCCGTTTTGTACTTTTGCAGTTTGGTCCTAATAAGGCATGAAACAAATGACTGTGTAAAACGATTTCTTTTGTGTAAAAAAGTGTTTCTACATGCTGCAACTAGATGAACTGATGATCTGTGTGAAGATCAGTGACAACAGCCTGGTTGTCAATAAAATGCCCTTAACCATTCCATGGTGTTCAGGCGGGGCAATTTAGAGCCTACGGGTTTTTTTACTCTGTGCGCGGTCCGGCAGTGTCGCGCTGACCCTGTGTGCACTTTTGCAAGACTTTTTTTGGGTGGTTTCAGAAAGTGCTGGTTTGACAGGACACCTCTCTCTCCCCACTTTCCCGACTGTCCGATCATGACATTGTTGCACTCCTCCTGAGCGGCTTGCTACGACCACAGGAGGGTCGATCTTAAAATAACCTTTGAGATTGACAACTTGCATGGATGTGTTTTTGGTTTTCTCCTAAATCTCTTCAGATATATAAGAATTTATCAAAGATATATGTTTTATTACTTTGTAAGGGTGAATAGAATTTTTTGTGTGACCTGTCTTTGCTTTATGCTGTAGAAAATAGATAAATCTTGTTTGGTTGAGACTTGTTCAGCTCTCTGTCGCTGTCCCTCACACCCAAAGATACACGCACACACACACCCCATATTAATACTTGATTAAGGGAAGAAAGAAAGCTTGTAAGGTTACAGTGTTGCCGACTTAGCAGTTTCTTGCTGCTAGATTTAGGGTCTTTTCAGGCTCTTTTAGCTCACTCTTTAAATAGTTAAATAAGAGATTTGTTGTTAGAGGTATTTGGATGCCTTTGCAGACTAACAACAGCATCTTGTAAAACATTCAGTTGTAAAAGTATATAAAGGCTTTGCTTCTTTACCTAAGCTACAACAATAGCACTGTAAAAACCTTTGCCCATATAAACAGAAACTCTTCAGTGTAAGAGATATTTGATGAAACTCCTAGGGATTTTTTTTTTTTTTGACTCTTAAAAACTGATCAGTATCATTTAGAAACAAACGTTTCTAGTCTGATATTTGATTAAAATCACTGCAGTGCATTGGGGGGTTCTTCCGACAGTGATGGGTACTTTGTCCCAATCTTAGATTCCACAGAACAAAATGCTATAACAATAATTGGTTAAGAAAGCTGCTATCAAAGTGTCAGACAAACTGGTAAACAAAACTTTTTCATCCATTTACCTAACATACACAGCTGCTGTCTTCAACAAACTGCTGTATTTGTACTGTTAGGTTTTAGTTTATTGATTTGCCAGGCTGACATTTTTTGCTTTCTGTTTTTATAGGACTTATTGATCATTCGACCCATAATATGCATCAGGAAAAAAACTCTAAGATGATGTTTTTCGTCCACCCCATGAACTAATCCTTAGCTTAGATCATTGTGAAATGTATTAATTTCACATTCCCATCCTGAAGCCAGCCTCTTCAGCATGGCTGGCTTTATCAAGAGACTTCGATAAGAATCATTTAAAAATACTCTGATCAGATAGAAGATTAGGAAGGATTCATCCTGATGTTTCTAGTGAAGTAAGCTTGTTTCATGATGGAAACATTCAGAAAAAATGAATAAAAAACTACCAAAAACAACCCTTTTTTTTCCTTTACAGTTTGGTTTTACTAACTTCTGATAATCTTTAACGGCACTAAAGAGCAAAAAACTGCTGTTACCTTGCAGAACAATTACTCTTGGTTGATTCCAGTCATTTACTCTCACATCTGGTGAAATCAGACCAGTTACCACAACATATCTGTTTACTGTGCAGTAACCACTGCTTCCTTGCTGCACAGCGGATACAGTATGTGATTTGCTCTATTTCCTCCCATCTAGACGACCACTAGTTTGAATCTTGATCGGGGTGCTTGTGTGCAAAGTTTGAAAGTTCTCCTAGGTTTTTCACGCACTTTTAGCAATCCCTAAGCATGAATGTTTGGTAAACTGGAGATCCTTTAAATGGCTGTTAGGTTTTAATCTGTGTATGGATGATAAATTAGTATCTTTTCCTCTTGCCTGTGACCTTCTGGTGATTCTGAACAGGGTTAACTGGTGACAGGAAATGTATGGATGAATGGATGGTGTCTGAAAAGCTATGCTAACAGAAATAATCTATGCACTGCTAAAATTCCTGAAAAGCAAAGTACAAGTTAAAACACACAAAAGCAATTACATCTTACATCTCATTACACTTTAATCTTTTACAATGTATTACTAACTGTTTAATAAGCTCTTCATGAAATCAGTATCTAAAGCTCTGACATGAATTCAGAGGAGTTTGCTGATGTAGGGCATGATAAGATATACAAATGAGAAATACTAAGAATCTAGCGTATCAGTTTTGCACTTCAGTGAAAATAAAATCCATAAGAACATGGATTGCATTCAAACTCTGCAAGCTGTGCTGCTGGAACGTGCTAATATATATCTTTTTTTCTTGCAATCATACATGACAGGAAGCAAAAATCAGCTGGTGGTGAACATACCCTCTGGTTTTGACATGCACACACAGCAACCGTGATCAGAGGGCTCTCAGAATGACCCCACTCTCAGCATGAATCCGGGTGTGCCTGTCACTGAACAATGATTAATGACAAAAATAAAAGGCCTCGGTGGTCGAACGTAAACCCTGATCCACATTCTGCCAGGGGATCCGGAAACCCTTACATGGCAACTTTGTGACAGTGAACGATGTTACGGCGATCATGCACCTGCTTAGCATCAACAAGCCATCTCTTCCTCCTTTCAGAGTTATTATTCCAATCAATACGGCGCCGCTGACATTTGAATGGTATTTAACATCCTTGTTGGGACGGGTGTGCAGTGGGATGAATTTGTGTATGCAAGAGGACCTGTGTGTGCGTGACTTTCAGATTGCTGAGCAAGAAGGTGGAAAGAGGAAAATGAGCGTCTGAGTGGGGCGTTGACCGATGTCGGTGTCTGTAAATGCGTGTCTGCGTGTGAGGAAAAGGTGTGTGGAGTGTTTGATGAAGTCCTGAGTGGATGCTGACACAGCACACATATAGACACACACACACACACATATCCACAGACACACCAGCCTTCTGGCAGAGGGCCTGCAGGTATTGATCACAGACATTTTTCTGGCTCAGTGCAGAATCAGAGCGAGAGAGAGAGCAAGAGGTTATCAGCCCAATATTCAGGGGGGCAAACCTGAATCAAAACCCAAAATATATTGTAACCATCCACTGAAGCAATTTTGTTTTTGATTCTTGGCTGTATCCGCTATCATTATGTAATATTCAACCAGATGAAATGACCCGGGGCTGGAATTTATTGATTCCACCGTCATTTTTACTTGGTGATAGGAAACTGATTGATTTCAGTTTGATCTTCCTGGTTACTAGCCACTCAGAAAATTAAAAATTAGATTTTTCTTTTCAGATCGGTGGCGCTTACTGAAGGAACAAGACACACAGTAAACCACTTACAGAACAAGATCTGTCATAAATTAACACAGAAACCACAGATAATGTTCAAAGTGTGTGAAAAATGAGAAGACTAGATTTTCTATGACCTGTCCAGACATCGTTCCAGTTCATTCTGAATGCAACCGAGAGACTATCATCAAATACAAGGAAGGCTGAATGCTGCAAATAGTGCAGAAAAGTTGCTTAGTTTGTCTCTATTCTTTTTAGATTAGAACCTTTTCTGTGCACCATTTTGAATTTGTGAAAAATTCAAACTTAAGACAATAATTTTGTCATTGTTTAAAAATAAGACACCACATCTACTTCTACCATAAATTATTAAAAGATGACAGGAAGGCCAGAAAAGATGTGATGAATGAATGCCCTTCTCTTGTGTTCTTATATTACAGGTCTTAAATGAGAATATCTATTACCTCGGCAGGTTAAAAACTTTACAAAACTGGTCATTGTCTCTAATGAGCTTTTATTAACTTTTTTTTTTTTTCAAGAAAATTTGAAGAATTTGTGTTCTGGTGACAGCTGGTGATAATGTCAGCTTGCTCTAGATCTGATGACAAAGGACCCAAATTTAGCCCTGCGGAGAATGACTGAGGCCAGTCCGTCTTCCGCCCCAGCCACCCGCACCTCCCGTAACATTATCACCAATCAATAAGTTATTCTGGGCAGCCGGGAGGGGTATTAGGTGATGGCGGTGGAAGGGGTCCTCAACAGTACAGTACAATCAGGAGTGTCTGATGCTTACGGCTGGGAAATTGATTCTGGGGAGCGAGACGATTAGTCAATGCTCTCTGGACAAAAGGCTAAGCTATTTCATCTCGTCTCATCTGGCCTCAGTAACATATTGGGATTTCCAATGCTTAAAATTTGAATAATGAATATTCCACTATGCCTGCGCTCCATCGGGGACAGCACACTGAAATGGGTTTTATATGATCAGGACCGAGTGGCAGTGTACCGCAGGTCGCCACGGTAATGAGATATGCCAGCGTTATCGATGGATAGAGGGTTGTAGTCACTTCCTGGCCGTATTGTCTGTCCTCGGGCTTCTGGCTGAGACTCTTGGACTCAACCTGGTTAAAAGTAATTATTATTAGTTGACTGTTCTTAGTGGTCTGAATTGAGGCTCCACAGAGACGGCAAAACAAGCTTTTTTCCAATCAATCAGCACAAATGTTCCCTCTACAGGGATGTGTCCGGCCAAGATCTAGCAATACAGCAGGGCTGAATACTGCTGTATTATCAATATCTGTAGAACCCGATAAACCATTAGGTGCAAACGCAGGCAAGATTAGGTTGATGAGTGGGAGATTTGTTGACAAGATGAAAGCGTCGAGCAGGCTGGCTCTGAGAGGGCAGCCAAAGGTGGAGCAAGT